TCAATCATGACAGCAACTTAGGAGGCCTTGTGAAGATGGTATGTATTTCTTTAAAGGAGGTACACACTCTTATCCCTCTACTTCTCAGAGTAGGTCTAGATTTCAGAGCTTTTCCGGGATACCAAAGGTATCCCGGAAAAGCTCTGCTGCATCCAAGGAACACGTCTGCTTTTCCAAACAAAATTCAGAAAAGTAGATGCATTTTTTCGGCATCCCTGTAAGCCTTGTTCTACAAGGAAGAAGGGATGTTCCAAAAGAGGGTTTTCTCCTGACATTTATTTCCATGTAGACTGGCCAAATGTCAGAAAAGCCTCTTTGAGAAGAAAAGTGGAAAAAGATACACAAATTGAGGTTTGCAATTTGCGTATCTTTTTCCGGCTTTTCTTCGTAATGTAGACATTGACACAGAAAGGAAACCCAGCAACGCAGCTGCTGAAAATTACTAGGCTCAAACACAGCCTGAGAGGCAAATTGCATCTTTGTTGCAACTCCCCATGCGGGCAATGTTTCCTAATTTATAATCTTAAATAGGGATGATTAGCCCACAGAGTGTTGGAAAGCAGGCTTTTTCTGTCCATGGCCTTCGCGTATAGCCCATCCTGCCACACAAGGCCCCTCACAGAAAACCCAGACTGTGAGATATTCAGAGAAGCATGGGAAGCACAATGCAGCTTTCTGTAAAATGGGATTTGGCCTTGTAGGCATCATAGAACAGGGAGTGAGCATGAAAAAATAGAACACAAGCTGCAAGAGATAAATAAGACTCTCTTGACCAGTCCTTGAAGGCAGGGAGGTAGGCATAGGGAGATAAGACGCAACTGCCATGCACACTAACCATGCCCACACCCAGCACTGTCCACGGGGCCATCAGGCGGGCATCATGAAAAATCCTATAGGGCAGTATTTCACGTTACCTCATTACCAGCCTATCAGGCCCGGCCAAGAAACTAACCCTAATAAGGTACCAGATATCAGGTTATGTTATAAAAGACCCTCAACCCCTTTGTTCGACGAAGGTTCCGTGTATTGAGGGCACATATCTTTTTTTTTGCCCGGCTAAAGGATTGATCACCCTCAGGCTGCCTTCCCACCCTTCGAGTCAAATATAGGGGTGCACGAGTCCTGAACATGCTCCGAGTTCTAACGTATCTTTGTGTTGTTATCGTTGCTGGATTTGTAAGTATTGCTTAAATGTATTAGTTATTGGTTTAATTAATAGTTAAATTGTGTTAATTTCACTGTGTATTTCTGTAAAGTGTATCTAAGTTCTGTTAACCACACTGTGTAAATCGTATAATTTTGTGTTGTGTAGTAGTGTTGTATTTAGGTTAAGTATAAGTGTTGGAAATAGAAGCCCAGGAGTTAAGTTGTAAAAGTAGATTTATGACTAACTCCACCAGCTGCCCTGAAATAACCATTGAGAGGCTGGGAGTTTTCATTATCATTATATTGTCTTTGTTTTTGTATTTTTGTTAAGCGAATTAGAGACAGTGATTTAATATAAGTAAATTGTAATCTAAGAATTGTAATCAGTTAGGTATAGTTGTGTTCAAGTTTTCTACCCTGTAAAAGCATTAGGCAATTGTTAGTTAAAAAGACCATTTTCTAATTGTTAGTCTTGATAAAAGAATCATTCCACTTAATAAAAATCATTTGTTTTACATCATCATCCAGTAGTTTTCACTGGGTAATCAGCTTTAACCCTTGAGGCTTCCACCACATCACCGAACCAAGGTGTAACAGAGAGTATAAGTCAAAAATTTGAAGTGAAACAGAAGCGATCATGAAAAAAAAATCTTTTTAATTTAAAAAGTATATCCTCCTCCATCTCTTCACCTTGTGGCTCCACCAGCACAAGTGATCAAAATCCACAAGTCAAAGAGTTCATGTGCATGTGCAAGAAGGTCAGTGCTCAAGAGAGCACCTGTTCTTCCAAAATTCACAGCTCAGTTTTGGACATACACGTGGCTTGAAAGATTTAAAGAAATAAACAAACTCTTGATGTTTGCCCATTATGAGACCTCCTCTAGTCACTTTTCCAAGTTTCCCCTTAGCCTTCTCATGTGAAGGAGAACCTTTTAGAAAGCTTTGGCTAACTTTGATACCACATTAACTAGCCGTGTAAAATCCCATTTAATTGGTTAACAGGTTAAATGTGATGTTTAACCAGTTAACAGATTAAAAGGGGTGGGGGCAAAGGATACTCCAGCCCCACTGGACTAGAACGCTCCCTCATGCCCTGCTGAATGCTCCCTCATGACCAGCCTGGAGTGGTCCCCTCTCCCCCGCTACAGGCAGGTTCTGCTCCAGCCTGGCCCTCTCCACAGCAGGCCTGGGTGTGCTGCAGGAAGGAGCTGCTCTGGATGTCCAGACCAGCCTCTGTCCGCAGTTGCCCACACCAGGACTGGACCACCCCCATGTCCACAGCAAGTGCCCCACAGTTAACCAAAACACATCACTCATTAAGGTGATGATTACCAGTGAACCTTTCATATCCCTAACATTAAAAGTTTCAGAGGAGCAGCTGTGTTAGTCTGTTTGAAAATCAACTAATAGCCCTGTAGTATCTTAGGGTATGTCTACACTACAAAGTTAGTTCGAACTAACATCCGTTAGTTCGAACTAACTTTCATAGGCGCTACACTAGCGCTCCGTTAGTTCGAATTTAATTCGAACTAATGGAGCGCTTAGTTCGAACTAGGTAAACCTCATTCCATGAGGATTAAGCCTAGTTCGAA